TATCTGACCACCAACTTTAAAAATAGTAAGGAGGTAGCAAGCCAACACTGGCAACTGTCCCCTGTGCCGGAACTACATGATGACTGACTAGGAGATACTGGACAACTTTCAGTGTTACAGATTCTTACACCTCACCCACTGCCATACTTCTGGATCCTGGGAAGCACAACCAAATTCTTCCCTTTGGAAACACGGCAAGTATCACCTCCATCAACTCATCCACTAAGCAGGTCACTTTAGTGCTCATACACTCTACATCTACAATAGCAACACAACATTTCCCTGACAGTAACAGCAGAAAGCATTACGGGAAGATGGTTCAAGCAGACACAGCCAAAGTTATTACATGCATTAGCTAATTAGTACTGAATAGACATGGTTCTAGCTCCAAATGCAGGCACACTCCAGAAGAGCAAGCCATTTGGAACGAAGAACTTCATTTGGAGTCCATATGAATTCTGAACTGATGCCTCATCCTATTAATCAAGGCTTGAAGAGCTCAAAACACAATTCAGAATGACAGCCTCCACAATTGTTCAGAGACCAGATTTTCTTTGCAGTTCTCGTTAAAGCCAGCATTGCTGCCAGTAATCTGGATTCACGTATGGAAGAAAAAAACATACTTTAGTTACTGCATAGCCTTTATAAACAGAAATGCAATACAGAACAATTGAAATTTCATCCTAAGCTATCAAACCATGTCAGCGTGTTTTACTGATACTGATTGCCAAGTACCTCCTTTAGTTTTTGTCTGGCAGAGTATTTCAGGCAAACCTCTACTCTCCGATTATTACACTGAACTATTTTAAAACATATTTAAATTTTCAGCCTCTGAAATAAGGGGAGATCAGGTCTGAGTTCAGTTTTGGAGGTTCTGCATTTCACGGTCAACTCCTCAGCAGGAGGGGCCACCACGCCTGCAGCCCTGTCCCATCACACACGAGCGTGGCACACGTCCTTTGCTCACGCAAAGCGGCCAAGGCTGGGCTGCCCTCACGTGCCTCCCTCCCCGCTTTTGGCCACGGCATCTCAGAGCGAGCAATGCTGGATGCTGTGAAGCCTGAATGTATCCGTTAACGTGGTCCTGGCACAGCAAATGGTACAAGTAGTTGCTGCTGATTCATCTTTCATGTTTTATTTATCCAAACCGTCTGGCTGTGTTACATCAGCCTGCAACTTTCAGCTGAACCGACGATCATTCCTCCATCAACAGAGGACAGGCAGGAGAGATGCCTCTGCTAAGTTCGTCAGCTGCTGAAACGCCGACAAGTCAGCATCGACGCTGCGCCATACACACGGGAGAAAAGGGCACAAAGCCTCCCTGTTTGTGAGATGCGCCATTTGGGGCCTCCTCACCATGACACTCAAATACCAGCGACGCCCTCATAATCTGTCAAATATTGTAAGCTGTTGAGAATGAGGATTCTGATAAAGAGACATTACAGACTGTCTCCGTTATAAACCAGGTATCAGAGGCGCATTAACTCTGCTAACTGCATGTTCTTCGGGACAAATAGCTCCCAGTGTTTTATTAAAAAAACCCCGAGTGGTAAAACTTCCAACCCAAAGCGCAGCAACACATCCACGTCCAGGTGAGAGGAGCCTCTCCCTCCCTGATGAGAGTTCAGGTCACTGCTACCAGGGAGGACCGAGGCCTTTTAACCCTCAGAGGTCCCCAGTCGGGCAGCACATTGTACCCGTGTGTGGCTGGAGAGGACTGAGAGGGGAGGGGAAGCTCTTGCTGGGCTGGCCAGGGACAAGGGTGCTGCTGCCTGCGCAAGGGGAGAGGGCTGCTCCCCCGCCGGTCTGGTCCCCTCCTCCTCCCAGCCCATCAACCCGCTTCCAGCCTTCCCGCAGCCGGAGGACCGGCAGCGCTGATCAGCTCCGCGTGCCCCCCGGGGCTGGGAGAGGTGCCGGCATCTACCGGTCTGGTCTCCGCCTCACGAAAAGGGCCCCTCGCACTCGCAAAGCCCGTGGCCTCAAGCAGCATGAGCCGGGCAGAAGGGCGTCCTCGG